CTAACCAACCTAACCTAATTTTAACTTTTAAGTTCACAGAGTACACAGAGTTTAGTTGGGTTCAGAGAACACACAGTCTGCATACATTTGTACAGCTCACACACTTTACATTATATGCTAGTCTTGTTTAGTAGTGATGTGAGTCTGTTAAAAGTTGCCGTTGTGACTGGTATCTGTGAATTGCTGATTAATAATTATCATGAATCAAATACTGTTATTTATAAGCCTTGAGTTATCATTCATTCTTAGATTGCAGCAATTGTACTCCTACTTTTTTTCACAACAGAAACTTTTACAAGTCATAATTATTTTCTGGACCTTTGTACTTCTTTTCATCTCATAGATTTTAAGTTTAAGTTAAGTTTTTATTTTCAAAAATGTCTTTTACTATCTCTAGTTTAAATACTAAATATACCTATAAAAGTATAATAAAATTATTAAGATTTTTTAGAAACAATGCTTAGAAGGTAATTATTTGGACTGTATGTGTGCCTTTTAAGTATCTTATACTTATGCCTGATATCCAAGAAGCCAAGTGTTATGAATTTACAGTTCGAATTTTGCCCCCCCCCTAGGAGCTCCTAGGGGGGGGCAAAAAAATTTTTGCGCTTCGCGCAAATCTTGCCCCCCCCTACATTTATTTCTGTATACGCCCTTGCCCTCCTTCTACCCATCCTCCTACCCCTCCCTTAGGGTCGAAGACAGAGGGGGTGCCCAGCCAATATTTCCCCTTTTTTAAGCTTAAAACCAAATGTATTTACCATATATTTACAATAATCACCCCTCCGCCCCTCCCTCCCATGTAAATCCTTTATGAAGGGCAACCCCAATTAAAAATACTAGAAATATTATATCCCATATTTTGGCGCCCACCAGTCCGCATTTTTTAGTTATTATGATTTTAATATAATTTATTTCAACCACGTCTGTTCCTTTCTTTTCTCCAAAAATCTTTTTAAATTCATTGAAATCGAATTTTTCTCCGATATTTAATAAAATTCTGTTCATTCCTGTTAGAGAGCGTGCACTGATTTATATTACTCTTAGAGTGCGTGCACTGATTTATATTCCTGTTAGAGAGCGTGCACTGGTCAATATTTCTGTTTGAGTGCGTGCACTGATCTATATTCCTGTTAGAGAGCGTGCACTGATTTATATTTCTGTTAGAGAGCGTGCACTGATCTATATTCTTGTTAGAGACCGTGCACTGATTTATATTTCTGTTAGAGAGCGTGTACTGATCTATATTCCTGTTAGAGAGTGTGCACTGATTTATATTCCTGTTAGGGAGCGTGCACTGATTTATATTACTGTTAGAGTCGTGCACTGGTCAATATTCCTGTTAGAGAACGTGCACTGATCTATATTCCTGTTAGAGAGCGTGCACTGATTTATATTACTGTTAGAGTGCGTGCACTGATTTATATTCCTGTTAGAGAGCGTGCACTGATTTATATTCCTGTTAGAGAGCGTGCACTGATTTATATTCCTGTTAGAGAGCGTGCACTGATTTATATTACTGTTAGAGAGCGTGCACTGATTCATATTCCAGTTAGAGAGCGTGCACTGGTCAATATTCCTGTTAGAGTGCGTGCACTGATCTATATTCCTGTTAGAGTGCGTGCACTGATCTATATAGACCGATCAGAACCTACTAATAATTTTAATGATCTTTCAATCAGACAAATTAGGCGTCATTTAAACATTAAATTATATTTTATATTTTTATTTAATTTAGGAATGTCAACTCTCGGCCCCCCTCCTGGTTCTTTTTCCCTTCCACCTGGGGCCCTGCCGCCCCCTGGGTCCTTAGCAGGACCTGGAGGAGGTCCTCTTGGTCCCTACAGGAGTATATACGAAGATATGATGGACCGAGAGATTCAGAAGGGTTTGGACTATCAGAGGTAAGTGGGCTAAATCAGAAGGAAAAAAATAAACTTTAAGATTAATTAATTATATTTGGTTTGGTTCGGGTAAACTTCATATATTTGGTTTGGTTTAGATAAACTTAATTATATTTGGTTTAGTTTAGATAAACTTCATATATTTGGTTTGGTTTAGATAAACTTAATTATATTTGGTTGAGTTTAGATAAACTTAATTATATTTGGTTTAGTTTATATAAACTTAATTATATTTGGTTTACTTTATATAAACTTAATTATATTTGGTTTAGTTTAGATAAACTTAATTATATTTGGTTTAGTTTAGATAAACTCAATTATATTTGGTTTGGTTTAGATAAACTGAATTATATTTGGTTTAGTTTAGATACACTGAATCATATTTGGTTTAGTTTAGATAAACTGAATTATATTTGGTTTAGTTTAGATAAACTGAATCATATTTGGTTTAGTTTAGATAAACTGAATTATATTTGGTTTAGTTTAGATAAACTGAATTATATTTGGTTAAGTTTAGATAAACTCAATTATATTTGGTTTGGTTTAGATAAACTCAATTACATTTGGTTCAGTTTAGATAAACTCAATTATATTTGGTTTACTTTAGTTTAAACTCAATTATATTTGGTTTAGTTTAGATAAACTCAATTATAAATGGTTTAGTTTAGATAAACTTAATTATATTTGGTTTAGTTTAGATAAACTCAATTATAAATGGTTTAGTTTAGATAAACTTAATTATATTTGGTTTATAAACTGAATTATAATTGGTTTAGTTTAGATAAACTTAATTATATTTGGTTTAATTTAAATAAACTCAATTATATTTGATTTGGTTTAGATAAACTTAATTATATTTGGTTTGGTTTAGATAAACTTAATTATATTTGGTTTGGTTTAGATAAACTTAATTATATTTGGCACAAATTTATCTTGTTATGTCTAGGTTAGCTGAAAGTCATAGACTTGGTGAGCTAAGAGCAGCTGAAGCAAGATACCTGGCAGGACTTCATAAAGGTCAAGTCTTTATTTGATCGATTCATATTCGATAAATTTATTGATTTTTCGTTTTTTTCATTTATTTATTTATTTCATAATATTTAGATTATTTTCGCTGATTTAAATTTCTTTTTAGATTCTCTTGGTGGACTACCACCCGGTCACCCGGCTGGACTACCACCTGGGCATCCGGGCACCTTACCGCCCGGTCACCCAGCCGGACTACCACCCAGTCATCTACCCGGACTTCCACCTGGTCACCCAGCTGGACTACCACCTGGTCACCCAGCCGGACTACCAGCCGGTCTCCCGGCCGGCCTACCACCCGGTCATATTGCTGGACTACCACCTGGTCACCCAGGTGGATTATCTGGGCAATATCCGGGCCTCTATCCTCCTCCAGGCTCCCTCCTGCCTCCTTCGGACCCATACAGACCTCCTTTCCCTGGAGTCCAGGGGTACCCTCCAACCTCCTATACAGCCCCCCACCCCCCGACCTCCTTCAACCCCCCGCATTCAGCCAACAATTCAGGATTAAGTGACCGGCTTCGTGTCGGGTTCGGAGAAAGGTCTCCCAACCATCCTCGGAATATCCAGGTAAAAGATCTAGTGACGACAGTCTAGGGCTGGACACGCTTGTACTTATTTCAACCCTTCGTTATCGGTTTGTTAAATTAACGAACAGGTTAATTAATTATAACAATTCCTGTCTTTCTAATAACTATACGTTCCGTTCGTTAAGAAAGTTTACGTTAATTTTCTCAAGTCTGCGTTCGTTAAAGAAAGTTTCTCCAGGTAGCTTGGTTGGAACCAAAATACACTGTGCGTTCGTAATTTTCAATTGAACAGCAATATTGTTGAGTAAAAGAAAGATCAAAGACGACGTTTATTCCTCAGATTATTGGTTCCAACTATTTTATTTTATTTTCAGTTTCTACTTATTTAATTTCTTCATCTGTTTTCTTCCGTTCTGTTCTTTTTTAAAGACTCGGTTCTTTCTGTTCATAAACAAAGCGTTGACCAGCCTTGTAAAAAAGTACCATTTAAAAAACTTACTGCACATGTCAATAGCATGCTTAAAAACCAAGCAAAAATGTATAATTAACTACAGTATGAACCAGGGAAAACAGTTAATTTATCTTTTCTTTACTTTGAACCATTAAATGTCATCAGCTACAACAATTACAAATCATAAAAACAAAAACGAAGATGACATTCATATCTCAGTTTTCTGTTCCTGGCTGTATGCATGTATATTATTAAACTTCTAATTATAATGTTTATAATTAAAATTATAAAAATTACATGTTCAAACGTTAAAAGCAATTGTAATTTGATGTGAAAAGATAATTTTAAAATTAAAATAATTGTCTAATTAAAATTCAATTTTATAATAAATACAAATATACTAATTAAAAAGTAAGTTTAATATTTCCAAGGCATTTGTTTAAAGAATAAATTTTATTTTATAATATTTCTTACTTAAACAACATTCAGTCTAAATCAAGAGAACGCTCAACATTTTAGCTACGTAGGGTTTCGGGGAGTTAACTCAATTCTACCCTACCCCTCCCTCCACCCATCCCCCTACCACCCCCTGTTAATGAATAGTGAATTTGTTAAGCAGACTCAGTTTAAAGATTTAATGATTATTAGATACGAGTTCATTTCCTTTCACTCTAGGTAATATGATAAGAAATACATTATGTAGGTTTCCCCCTTTCCCTATCCCCCACCCTGCTACTATAGTAAAATGGAGATGTAAACAAACAAAATGGTGGTGCGGAGACCGGGCAAAATTTTAATTTATTCCTACTTACAATACTATTTGGCTTCATTTAAAGCTCTTAAGATGATACGTTTTGTATTTCATTTCTAAGGTTATAATTTTAGGATTGTATAAGGATTCTACATAATAAAGAATTAAAATTTCGGTATTTTTTCTTGACAACAACCCTCTCCCTCCTGCCATACTTTCACTCCATCTTTTCTACCTCCCGTCTTTTGCCTCCCACAGTAAAATATACCCTTGCATCTTATTCCCCCTTAAACTCTTAATTTTATCACCACCTTTATTCAGTGAGAAATTTAAAAGATGAATTTAAAACTTTATGATAAACACATAAAGCTAATAAATCAATGGAAATGCAAAATTTATTGAAATTTATATTTTTTAAATGTAAGATTCATTTAAATACTTGGATTAAACCCATTCAATCTTTTAATATATCCATAAAACCATTTTTCCGACCATCGACCATCAATTATTATAATTATCATTATCTTGTAATTATCTGAATAATAATTACTAATTAATAATATTGTAGGAACGGGTTATATTTACATCAGCCCAAGCCGAGGTGTCCTCTACTGTCTCTACTTCCAGTGTAGGTAGGAACACGCGAGCATAGCGAGAAACTTTAATACAGAGTTACCCACAAAGGATGAAACTGTAAAGACGACTCAAAACTCTAAAAATATTAAGATTTGTAGCTTGATTTTTGGTTTCTGCATTCAAATGAGTATTTTAATGGTTTACTGAATGGTCAATCGAAGAAGGAAGCTAGTTCTGGCCAGGGGGATGATAGTTTCCTACCTGAGTGCACTCAGCTAGCTTTACTGTACACTTACAACTGTTTACTAATAATGATATACTATAGGTTAAGCCAGAATCTCCTTATAATAATCAAATATGCAGTACACTCTAGGTATGGTTCATGGACTACACAATTTGTTAAGGTTTAGCGTACATCATCACTCTATACACTATAACCTCATTGGTTTTGGCCCACTAGGAATTCTGAATGCTAGAAAACGAACTAAACAACTTCCTAAAAGTCGTCTCTGAAGTTTCACCATTCGTGACCCTGTATCTTACCAATATTTAGAACCTTCTTTGATTTAGTAGAACACATAGTTTGAAATATTATTGGTCTCCGACTTCAGGTTGCAAAGATATAATGATTAAAAGTTTGTACACTTAATAAGTTTGTGAGCTATTATAGTAAGTTTGAAAACTATCAAAATTTGAAAACTATCAAACTTCAAAAATTTTCCAAGTTTGAAAACTATCAAAGTTTAAAAACTATCAAAGTTTGAAAACTATCAAAGCGTAAAAACTATGAAAATTTGAAACTATCAAAGTTTGAAAACTATTAAATTTGAAAACCATCAAAGTTTGAAAACTCAAAGTTTTTAAACTATCAAAGTTTGAAAATTATTAAAGTTTAAAAAATTATCAAAGTTTGAAAACTAACAAAGTTTGAAAACTATCAAAGTTTGAAAACTATCAAAGTTTGAAACCTATCAAAGGTTGAAAACTATCAAAGTTTGAAAACTATCAAAGTTTGAAACCTATCAAAGGTTGAAAACTATCAGAATTTGAAAACTATCAAAGTTTGAAAACGATCAAAGTTGGAAAACTATCAAAGTTAAAAAATTATGAAAGTTTGAAAACTTTTAAAGTTTGAAAACTATCAAAGTTTGAAAACTATCAAAGTTTGAAAACTCAAAGTTTGAAAATTATTCTTGTAAGATATTGCTGCCTGTATTGTGAATCTAACTATACATCAATCTTAAATCTAATGTCACGGCAAAAAACCGTTTTAAAAAGGAGGGGGGGAGGCTTAGGGATAAAAAGGGCCGAGATATGGAGAGAGGGGCTGGCGAGTAAAGTAAAGAATACATTGTATAATGATTTCAGATTGTTTTTTTTTCTTTTTCACTTGTATATTATATATATATAAAGCGCGTTTAATTTAATCAAATTATATTGAGTTGCTGAATGATGTTATATTTTTCATTTTATTTTTCTTGGTCGTCATTTGTATCTAAATTTACTTTATTTACGTGTACCACTGTACCGGGGTAGGAAATTGTCTAATTAAAATGCGTAAAAATTGACAAAAATAAAATAGATAAGAAACTTTTTAACGACGGTTCGACGTATCAGATTAGAAACAGGAAAAGAGTCGACACCCGTTTTTTTAGTTCATAGGATTAGTTCTTAATTTCTAGTTATATCCAACCTGACGACATTGTGTATCCAGTACTACTTGATGTATCCATGCCTGTCAGTATTGTGTATCCAGTACTCCTTGCTGTATCCAACCTGACGATATTGTGTATCCAGTACTCCTTGCTGTATCCAACCTGACAGTATTGTGTATCCACTACTCCTTGCTGTATCCAACCAGACGATATTGTGTATCCAGTACTCCTTGATGTATCCAACCTGACAGTATTGTGTATCCAGTACTCCTTGCTGTATCCAACCTGACGATATTGTGTATCCAGTAATCCTTGCTGTATCCAACTTGACTGTATTATTGTCCTTGCTGTATCCAACTTGACTGTATATTGTCCTTGCTGTATCGAACTTGACTGTGTATTGACCTTGCTGTATCCAACTTGACTTTATTGTTCTTGCTGTATTCAACCTTGACTGTATTGTCCTTGCTGTATCCAACTTGACGATATTGTGTATCCAGTAATCCTTGTATCTAATTAGACTGATTTGTATTCAGTATAAACTTTGTATCCATTATACCTTGCTGTATCCAACTTGACTGCCAGTGTATCCATTAGATTAATAATATCCTGTTTGTTATATTAGCTTTTCAACATCTTCGTTACAGTTCACGGCGGTTTAGGAAAAATACAGATTTTAGCGGCGCTGAAATATTGTTGGCGGCATTTTCAAACTACTCAACAAGAGCTGCTGCGTGGAAACATATATAATAAAAACAAAATAATTTTTAGGAACATTTTACCTTTCAAAACAGATAAAATACATTTAATATTTTATATTATTTATATTTCTTAAGTCAATGGCCCTTCCCCCCCCCCC